TGACAAATCTTCAGGTCACTTGTTTTTTTCTTGGTGGAATATTGCTGCAAAACAACAGCACCCTTTTAAGGCGGTGAAATTTCCCCACCCAGAAAAGGGACCCGAGAACTTTCACGGCGCGGGGTAAGGAGATAAAAAACCTCTTTTTTGGGAGGTTGAAAGGGTTCCCCAAACCTGTAAATTCCCCGGAACGCAAAGGGGGGAGAGATACATGTTTTTAAAACAACCCGGAAAAACCCAGAAGGGACTAGTTAAACCGGGAAATTGCACACAAAATCACCCCCTAAAGAAAGAAAAGGGCTTGGGGAAAGAAGCACCATCCCCCCAATGAAAAAGGGAGGGGTGTCCTAGCACCCTTAAGAGACCATAAAAAATAAGTGTTTAGGGGCCCGAGACTGTTTTAACTGCCTCCCAGCACCCCTAAGGGGGATTTTCCAACAACCCCCCCCCGGCCCTTTTTCAAGCTGGCATGGACAAGCACCTAAAAGTCAGTTCCGGATCAACCCCGGGGTTGGCTCGTATGTTGGTTTTCGGGGCAGCCCCGCGCAACCCGCCTGGTTGATAAAGGGCCCGATCCCCCAGGGGGGCCTGGTCTCAGACCGGGCCTGGGGGGGTTGACCCCCCGGGAAATCTCTCCAGGTAAAATCCCCGGTAAAACTGGGATTTTTTGTAAAATTGTTTTAAAAAACGTCAACCCCTTCTTGATGGTATTGGGAAAATTTTGGAAATGGGAGGCCCCACACGTATTAGACGGGGATGTCATTTGTTTACTTTTGAGAATTTCTAAATAATTAAACATTTTCTGTACTGTGAGTGCAATTTCAACGTAACTTTTCGTTGTGAAAAACCATCAAACTCCCTATCTATTTTTGTAAAGTATCTTCCCCTTCTATCAAATGAGCCAAAAAAAAAGAGGGAAAACAACCATAAAAATCCTTTCAAAATATTAACCCCTATGGGGAAATATGGCTGGGGTTTTATTTCTTTTATTTTTTGGGGGCAAGTTAAGAAGCATCTTTTCCCCAATTTAAAATTTCCCCCTTTTTATTAAGATAGCCCCCCCAAAAAATAAATGGAAAAGGAAAATTTAAAATAAACATAATTTAAAAATATCTTTATTTACTACATGTTTCATTTTTAGTGGTTTTACAGGCCCAAACTTTAACAAGGGGCAAAACTACTATATAGAAAACCCCCCGTTATTTCTAAGCATTTTAGGCAAATTAGGTCATGTACCAGGATAAAAACCCACACCAGTCCCCCTAACACCCGGTACCCATTTTTCTGAAAGGGGGGAACCCTAAAACCAAAAAGGTTTTAAAGAAAAACCCCAATGTTTCTACCCCGGGTGGGAAAATTTTTAATATTTTCCAAAAATCATATATGGCCTTTGCCCCAAACCAGGTACTAGAAATAAGCCCCTTTGATTTTTTTTGGGGGTTTTCCTTTGGTTCTCTAAAAAAAACACTGCCCTTTTTGATAATCTATTGAGAAAAATACTTTTTGTTTCAGGTTTAAGGTTTCAGTAAAGAGTGTAAAATCACAGCTAGCCCTGTTCTTATACAAATAACCTCTACTTACAAGTTTTTAATCCGTTCCATGACCTTTCTCGCAACTGGATTTTTCTGTTTGCAGTCAATTTTCCTCATTTTTAAATTTAAATGTTTTTTTATTATTTTAATCAAGGGGGAAGCGGGAAACCCGAGGATTATTTAAAAGCCCCCTGGGGGGGGGGGGGGGTGTTTGGAAAGGCATTAAAAGGTTAAATTTGGGGGGAAATGGAGGCAAAAAGATCCAATTCCCTAAATCCCAAAAGCCCCTCAACCAAAAACAAGGAAAACCCTTTCCCCGAGGGGTTAAATTTTAATGAAAGGAATTAATTCGGTTTCCAAAATGGGGGAATTCCCCGGGACGAGAAAATTTTACTTTAATAATTTTCCCAAATATCAACCTACAACTTATTTATCTATCACAATTCAATGTTTTAAAAACATAATTAAAAAATGTTAATAAAAAAAGAAAAATTATAAAAAACACTAGGGAAAGAATAAAATACATGTTTTTAGGTATGGGCTAGTGGTGGTGGTGACAGCAGGCATTGTTGTTGAGGTTCATAGGGCCACCACAGTGGCCATTCCTGCTCCTGACTACATGTGTAGAGAACCTAGGATAACCAAAAAAGTCAGACAGAGTGACTTATAAGTGCTACACTCTTAATGCTTCACTTAATTGCCACACTATTACTGCTACACTTAATTGCTACACTCTCAATGCTACACTTAATTGCTGCACTCTTAATGCTACACTTTGCCACTGCAGCTTCATGTTGTCTGCCACTGCTACCTCATGATGTCTGCCACTGCTGCTTCATGTTGTCTGCCACTGCTACCTCATGATGTCTGCCACCACTGCTTCATGTCTGCCACTGCTGCTTCATGTTGTCTGCCACTGCTACCTCATGATGTCTGACACAGTTGCTTCATGTTGTCTGCCACTGCTACCTCATGTTGTCTGCCACTGCTGCTTCATGTTGTCTGCCACTGCTGCTTCATGTTGTCTGCCACTGCTACCTCATGATGTCTGCCACAGTTGCTTCATGTTGTCTGCCACTGTTGCTTCATGTTGTCTGCCACTGTTGCTTCATGTTGTCTGCCACTGCTGCTTCACGTTGTCTGCCACTGCTACCTCATGATGTCTACCACTGATGTCGCCAAAGAATTGAACATTTCTGCTATTTTGAGCTCAATTTCAAGGTACTTTCCATCTTGAAACCAATTAAAATCATATTTATTTTTGTAGTATATATTCTATTCTATCAATTGAGTGCAGAGCTAAACACAAACTTACCAAACTTCCTCAGAGCTAAACACAAACTTACCAAACCTCCTCAGAGCTAAACACAAACTTACCAAGCTTCCTCAGAGCTTAACACAAAATACCAAGCTTCCACAGAGCTTAAACACAAAACTCTACCACGCATCTCAGAGCTTAACACCAAACTTACCAAGCTTCCTCAGAGCTAAACAAGCTTATCAAGCACCATCAGAGCTTAACACAAACTTACCAAGCATCTTCGGAGCTTAACACAAATACAAAGCATCCTCAGACCTTAACACAAACTTACAAAGCTTCCTCAGAGCTTAACACAAACTTACCAAGCATCCTCAGAACATAACACAAACTTACAAAGCTTCCTCAGAGCTTAACACAAACTTACCAAGCTTCCTTCAAGCTTAACACAAACTTACTAAGCTTCCTCAGAGCTTAACACAAACTTACCAAGCATCCTCAGAGCTTAACACAAACTTACCAAGCATCCTCAGAACATAACACAAACTTACAAAGCTTCCTCAGAGCTTAACACAAACTTACAAAGCGTCCTCAGATCTAAACACACTTACCAAACTTCCTCAGAGCTAAACACAGCTTTTCCCCC